CTTTTTTTCCTAGATCATCTTTGGTTGCAATAATAGTAATGATCCTATTGTCATGTTAATTGTTACTCTCCCTTTTTCATCTCTCTCTCTCTTATTTCTGATGAGGAAGATGAAGAGCTGATGATGATAATTTACCAGTCAAATATGTTTACTTCCATCACTTTTACTCTCACTTCACCGCATCATCATCATTTCTCTTTCATTTTTCGCTCATCAAATTGGTCAAGCATGTCCAACACATCATTCTCACTCTCTTTTTCCCCTCTTCTCATCTTCATATTTGCATTTTCTATCCAATCTTCATTTCCCCTATGAAGATAAAGAAAGAAAAAGAGAAACTCTAAATATACATGTAATTTTTCATCTTCCTCATCATCTTCATCCTCATCCATCAGGATATTGCCTTTTCCTTCATAAAATTTAATGTATAAACTAATAAAAACAAATACAATGATGAAGATGCATATGGAAGAGAGAGAGAGAGAGAGACTTATCTTCCTCTTCCTCTTGGTTTTAATTCATGAAAATGGCCACGATAATGAAGATGATGAATTGAAGCCATATCATCATCTTAATTGTCATTAAGTAAACATTTAATTGGTTCTCAGTGAACAATATGATTAATCAAAAAAATTAAAATAATCAAGAGTTGACAGTTAGTTAATTGTCTTAGCATTTTGATTACAATTAACTGTTGTTAAAGTTTTGACAATGATTGAAATTTGATTAGTTGAGGTTTTTGTTTTCTGCCTTCTCATCATTGATAATATTGAATATCTTTTGATAAAGTTAATATTTGATTGGAAATTTTTAATTAATTGTTGAAGTTTCTATTCTCATCAGTTAATTGTCAACTGTAAAAATAATTAATGCAAAGTCAAAGAAATAGTAATTAACTATTAATTATTTACCATTAGGTTAGATTATCAAATTTAATGACTTTTTTCACAATCAACTAATTGTGGGTTGAGAAAGTTTTTTTTACTTTCAATCCAAACTAATGAATAGGTTAATCAATTTACAACAATTAACTTAATTATTATATTTTAAGAGAGAGTTGAAACTTTTTCCTTGAAACTCAATCAACTGAATAGTTTGAGTAACAATTAAATAGCAACAAAAAATTACTAATTACAATTAAGAGAGAGAGAGAGAAATGAAAATCTTTCAAAAAAAGTTAATCAATTTTGATTGTTAACAATCAATGTAAATACAATTTGTACAATTAAAATGTAAAGTTTTCAAGGTTATCATCCATTCAATCATCATCATCATCATTTTATTGATGACGATTGATCAAAAAGGAGCTCAAGTTAATTATATTAATTATCATCTCTCAGGTAAAAATTGATTCTCATGAAGAAAAAAAAAAGTTTTTCTTAAAGAAATTAAGTTAATCATTAATTTTTTGAAAAGTAACAATTACTATTGATTAGGTTTTAATTGTTGATCAACAAGAGAACACACAACAATTAAAATCAATGTATAATCGTTGATTGTATGTATTCAGTTTTGGAACGTGGAAACAATCAACTAATTGCTGAATTTGAGTTAATTTTGGCTCTCATATGTTGGGGAAATTACCAGACACATCAATTAACGATTGAAAAGTTTGATAATTGTAATTAAAATAAGTGATGAGGATGCTGAGGATATTGATAATTAAGCCTCAGGTGAAAATGATTGATAAAATTTCAGGATTCATGTAACATGTTGATTTATTTTCATGTCGTCTTGTTGGTGTCAACCAGTTAGCTTGACCTGTTCAATGTGTTCACATGTTGTTTTGAGGTTATGATCAAATTGAATGATAATAACCACAAGAATGATAATAATAATGATGATGATGATGATAAAGATGATATTTGCTGATCAATTTAGATAACTTTTAAACAGAATCGCATTTTTTTTCCTCTTGAATTTATCATGAAATTACACCAACGCCAATGGATGGAAATGAGAAAAAAGTTTCAAAAGTTAGCAAGAGATGAAGATGAAGATGAAGAAGATGATGAGGATGATGAAGATGTTATAACATCATCATCATCATCATCATCTGTTGGGTCTAAACTGATATATGTTTCCAAGTGATGAAAAAATTAAAAGCAAAAAGGTAAGAAGATGAAAAGATGAGAGAGTTAACTGGTCAGTTAATCTTTTTGGTTAACATTTTGTTTTTCTTTTCATCCTTAATCATCATTCAATTCACGAATACCGGTCAGCATCAAGATGACCATTATCATGGTGATGGTGATGATGATGATCATTTTTTCTGTCTTCTTTATACTCTGATTCTATCAAGTGATTGACAATCTTATGATAATTGGTTTAGAATAAATTTGTTGATAAAAACAAGGCGAAAATGAGGAAAAACAAAGTTTGATGACATTTAGTAATTATTATTATAATAAATATAAGGGATAAATCAAAAGGGATACCAAGGATTCATTGCATCAATTCAATTGGTAACCATGGCAACCGCATCCTTTTTTCATTCATCTTTTATCCGCATCATTTATGTTAACCAAGTCACGTCTGAATATGTTGTTGTTGTTTTTTTTATATATGAAAATGATGAAAAAAATACTCATCATACCAACATCATCAATCAGTAATTGACATTGAAAACAATTAATGTAATTATTACACAATCAAAGCATCACAATTGTGTAATCAATGCACATAAACAGTGAGAGAGAGAGAGTGAGTGAGAGAGAGAGAGAACGAGTGAGTGAATGAGTGAGATTGAAGGTAGAGTTTCCTATTTTCTAATTAACTTTGATTTTGTTAGAACAAAATTGTAATGGAAAAAAAAGATCGCTAAGCAAATCAAACAATCGAAATTCTAATCTTTCATCTATAGAAATTGAATTATAAATGGAGAAAAAAAGAGAGATTAATAGAACTTTTTTTTTTATTCTCTTACAACTTTCATCTTGTTCCTCTTTTCGAATTCACAACTTTCTCATCATCTTCATCTTCTAACATCTTTAACCAATATCATTTACGTGATAGAATTGACTTCTTGCATCTTTCTCTTCATCATCATCATCATTATCATTTATCCTCATCATGTTGATCCATTTTCCTCAATATAAAATATCTATTAAAATGAATGAGAGTAAAAAACTTTAATTTAGCTTCACTCTATATTTCCTGTTGTCAAAGTTTCTTTGTTGTAAAAATGATGATAATGATGATGATGGTGATGAAGATGATGAGGAGAAGGAAAAAGAAATGATAAAAAACTATAAACTTTTTCACTCGATTTTCTTTCGAAATAAAATTCGAACCTTTAAAAAAAGATAAATCGTCTTTTCCACCCCACACATCCACCTCCTCTCTCTCTCTCTCCCACCCTCAACCCTCTGACTTCTACCTTCTCTCTCTCCCTCTCCCTCTCTCTCATCCTCATCTTCATCCTCATCACTGTGAGTCACACACTCATATCCCTCGATTTTTTTTCTCTATCAAACTTTTAAATCTTTTGTAATTTCGAGTCTTTAAAGAACCAAAGAGAAAGACTTTGATTTAATGAGAATTCTCATCTTCTCAATTGAAAGAGAATCTTTCATCCTTCATCATCATCTTCCTCTCTCTCTACTCTCTTTCCTTACAGCTTAGAACTTTTCGAATATTCGAAGAAAACTCATTTTTCTGTACTTTCTTTTCTCCTTAAATCATCATCCTCATAATCTTCATCTTCATCTTCATCTTCCTCCAACATCTTGATTATCATTCTCATCCTCATCTAATCATCATCATCAAATTATTAAAATAATTGCACAATAATCTTAACAATCAAACATGAATCGTAATCAATGACAATTTAATTATCATCAACATGGATAATTGAATGAGCTAATTGTGAAAAACAAGATTAAAGGTTAATCTAATTAAAAAGGTAATAAAATTTACTATGTATAAATTAATTAATCAATGTAATAATAATGATAACCTCTTTTTTTTGCCTCAACAAAAACTAAATTAACTTAATTGTTACCATTTAGTTTAATCCTTTCCTATCACCATTGGATGTTACAAGAAACCATGATGACGATCATGATGATGATGATGATGATGATTGTTAATCAAATAGAGTAAACTTTCAATTCGTAATTGTAATTACATTTAATCATTTTCAGTTCTATATATTGTATATACATTTCTCCCACTCTTCCTCATATTGAGCAATTAACTTACCCACCCCACCCTCACTCTCCTTCCTTAATCATAACAATTAACACTGAGTATCAATGTTAATTTATGCAATTATATTTTATAGGCAAACATTTTCATCCCATTAAACTAATTCATTGATTCAATTCATTTACTTTTGTGAGCAAACTCACTAACAGATAATAATGATAATCAACTTCTCATATAGATGAAACTTTTTTTTATCTTCATCAACTTAATCATGATTAGTGAATTTAATTGTTGACCGTAATTGTGATTAGCACATTTCGTTTGCAATTCTAACGGTAAAAGTGGCAAAATTGCAAAATTAATTGTAACAATTAAGTAATAGCAAACAATCATCAATGGTAAAGATTGTGATTGAATTTTCAAAGATTCATTTTAATGTTAATTTAATGATAATTAACTAATAATAGCAGTTAATTGCTGTTGTTGCTGCTAGTGAAATTAACAATTAACTCATTGTTTGGTTAGTTTAATTGTTCATTTCCAGGTTTGATTGTTTTTAATTGATTGTTATGGTAAATACCATCAACACAACGTAAATGTTATTATAATTAAGTCTCTAATTGCAACAATTAAGCCTTGAAACAAAGTACAGAAAAAAATTAAAGGTCAACCTTGATTAACAATTAAAACTATTGACAAGGTTAATTAGCAATTAAGGAAATATATTTGATCCGGAAATGATTAAATAAGCAAATCACAATCACAAGCACAATTTAAGTATATGAAAAAAAAGGTTAAACAATCAATTAATTAGAAAGACAATTAGATTTAAATTGTTAGTTTTTTTTTACCTTTTCGTTAGTTGAATGTTGTTAGTTGATTAGTGATTAATTTCCCGTTGATTGTGTTTTAATTGATCATCTTTCGAGGAGTTGGTAATTGTAATTGCCAATCAAATTTAAGATTAAAATCTAAATTTAGATTAATTGTGATTCTTAAATTGCTATCAAATAAATATATCAATTGTATGTGTTGTATATATAAATTCAATTGTAGTAGTTGTAATTAGGAACCTTAGTTGTAGTGTGTTAGTTTTAATTAGTTGGTTAATTGTTGAGATTTTAACAGGAATTTGTTTTGCTTTTTTTATCAATAGGAATTATTTTCCAATCATTCAAGATGATTAGTTAATTACTATTATTGTTTAAAAGAAAACAACAATAATAATAATTTAATAGGAACCACAGGTAAATTGGTAAGTTGATTAATTGTAGGAACCATTGATTGTGAACAATTAAAAATTAAGAAAAGCAAAAGTGTCTTGTTAATTGTTTTATCAATATACAAAGTCTATGGGAAGTTGTTGTTGATGGTGATGGATTTTGATGATTGTATTGTTGATGATGGTGATGATCAAAGTGATGATGAAGATGCTGATGATGATGAGGATGATGAGAAGGTAATATTTACAAAATGTAAAAAGCAATATGGAGAAGCGGGAAATTCAATTGCAGCGATGAAGCAAATAAAAAGCAGCAAATTTGTTAGCACGAGAAATTAAAGTTAATTGTAAACAACGACAACAAACTTGATGATTAAAGGGATGATGATGATGATAAGAAAGTGAGAGAGAGAGAGAGAGAGAGAGAGAGAGAGGATAAAATCTTCAATAATTTATGAATGAATTAGTATTTATGTAAATTACAATTACTACTCACTGTTAATTGTAATTGTAGGTAATCAAATCTTAAGCTGTTGTGAATTGGTGTTGATTAAATTAATAGTGATTTTCATATAAAAAGGCAATCCGATAATTAGGAACTGTTGTTGTTGTTGTTGATTTAATTGTTGTTGATTAGGAACTGAGTGTTTGTATGATGAGATGTAATTAATTAATCTTGTTGATTAGGAACTAAGCCAAAAAATTTGTTTCGTCTCCAAAGGTAACTAATTAATATTATTTAGTAATTAATATGAATAGGAATGTAAATGTTATATATATATATGTATATAATTAAGTGTATTAAGATGTTGATTAAATTTAATTGTTATGATGTTTGATTTAATTGTAGGAACTGATTTTGTTTGATGAGAAATTGAAACAAAATGGTTTTTTTTGTTAATTACCAAATTTGTTAATTTCTTGTCAATGGGAACTTTAATTTACTTCATTAGTTGTAACTTTGGTTGTAATAATTAGTAAATTGTTTCAGAGAAACAATTTCATTTTTCTGACAATCAATTCACCAATGTTTAAGTTAGTTGATTGTTGTTGTTGATTAAATTGTAGAAACAGCAAACAAATCAAACTTTTCATTTACGTTGATTGTTGTGGACACTTTAAATTTAATATTAATTAATATTCAATTCCTCTCATTTCTGATTGTTGATTGTGTGTGTTAATTAATCAATTACAGATCATTATGGTTGATTAAATCACAATTTGAGGATTTTAACAACAACAATTTAAATTTAACACAAACATTGAAAACCCAACATGAGAATGATAATAAAAAAAATTGATGTTGATTGTTGATGGTCACTAGTTGGGTTGATGTTGTTGTTGTTGTTGTTGTGTTGATGGTGATGATGGTCAATCAGGTGGGAGTGTCGATGCTTTAACAACAATGGTTGATTGATCAATTAATATTATCGGCACTGATAATCCAAGTAATAACACTGGAAAAATAATATCATCATTGAATAACATTATTTCCGGGCAACGGTAAATCATTTGCATCATCATTTGTTTATCATCATCATCATGTTGATAGTTGGTTGTTGTTACTTTTTTTTCAGGGCAAAAAAAAACAAACTTTTTCCTTATTTTTTGTTAATATATATAAGAACTTTTTATTTCAAGATGATGGAGATGATGAGGATGATAATGATGATGATGATGATGATGATGATAATGTTATTATTGTGTATGTATATGAGTGTGTAGTAGTCCCAATGAACGACTCTCTCTGACTGATTTTTCTCAATTTATCTTCTCTTTCTTTTGTCTCATTAATTTTCTCGTGCAGACGCAGAGGCAAATGAGAGAGACAAAGGAAAGAGAGAGAGAGAGAGAGATAGAAAGAGAAATCATTCATTTTCTTTCTCCCACTCTTCTTAATCATCTTTACTAGGCATGTCTGCCTCTTCTCCCTCTCACCAACTCACTCTCTGATATTCTCTCTCCCCTTTATCTTCATCATCATCATCATCATTCTCATCCCTAGTGTCTTGATTTCTCTCCCTCGTCTTTTTTTTTCATTTCTTTGCATTTTACACTCTGTCTATTTTTCTTTCGACTTTTGTTTTTTTCATCTCTCTTTCTCCTTCATCATCTTCATCATTCATTTAAAAATGTTTCTCAATGAAGGAGGAGTTAAATGAGGGTGTGTCATTTACTTTCATCTTCTTTTTTAACTCTCACCTCTCCCCTTTCTCTCTCTCTCTCTCTAACTCACTCTATGGACTCTCTCCCTTATCAACCCCCTGTTCATGTTAAAAAAAACACTATTTTATCAATGAACCAATGCCATCTATGAATTAAAATAATTACATGAGAAAATTTGAAAATTTGAAACTTAAATTTACAATACAAGGTCAATAAAAAGGTCATCAAGACTTGTCATCATTTATCATCCATCATTTGTCATCACCATCAGAGGATAATCCCTGGATAGAGACTAGTATTGGGAGTAAAAACTCCCAACATCTTAAAGGATTAGAATATCATATCAACGAGAGTTTTCAAATTCGAAACTTTTTCTTTCGACTTTTGTTATATGTCCAATAAACTTTTCGGTTTAATTTCGATGGTTTTTTCTTGTCTCTTTCCTTGGGAAACATTTCAAGAGTCAAAAGTGGTCAGTTAGTGGTCAGTAAATTTGTCGAAAATTTCGAAAAAAGTTACTGTTATTGTTTGAGAAAAGAAAAAAAGAAAAATATTTTCTCGAATTAACTTTTTTAGAACATTATTTTTCTCGAATTTATCAGAGATGAGGCGCCATCTTTTGCTATAATTATCACTTTCGCCAGTGATGAGAACGCATGTGAAGATGATGAAGATAAAAAGATGATGAGAAGATGATAAGAAACAAAACTGAACAATCAGTTGATTGAAACATTCAGTTGACAATTTGTTCCCATTCTGTAAATGTTAACAATCAATACGAAGAAATTGAAAAATTTTGGAAACTAAACTTTTCCAATTTACTCATTTTCGTTTCATCCCTTTAATTTGGTTAATTGTTACAATTAACTCTTAATTGGTAAATTATTTTTGCATAAACAATTTCAGGCTAATTAATTGAATCTCAAAGTTAATTAGCTTTGATTTAATTTGTTAAAGTCATCGAGTTGGAAGCGACTGGTTTTTTTAACGAATCAAAAAAAAACAATTAAGGGGAACTCTTAATGATGATAGTTAATTGTGAAGTTTAATCAACGAAGTTTTGATTAAACTATTATTACAATTTAATGGTATTGGTAATTAAGGTTGACTGTTTTTTTCACCACTCATTACGAGGCTTAATTGTTGACAATTAAGTTTAATTATCGCAAAGGTGAACATGTTTTGATTTTTGTCTTTAAAACTTTTTTTTCATCTAAAATTGAAACAATTTAGCAAATTGTTACAATTAAGTTTAATTGTGTATATATTTAAAATTAGATCAATAGATTGATATATATGATCTTGTTTCTTAATTGTTGTGATAATTTACTGATCACAAATCAGTGTAATTAAAAATTATTTATATGTCTAATTAATTTCAATTCAATTGTATCAACAATTAAGTTGATGAAAGTTAATCAATGAAAGGTCAACATTCATTTCTTACTTATTGATTTAATTCAATCAACTGGTTAATTTTAGACAATTAAACTTGATTAGTTGTAGGAAATTTAATTGTTAAGAGAAACAAAAATCAATAACAAGATATTATAATAATTAATAGTTATCGGAATGAAATTAAATAATCAAGAAAACAATCAACAATTTAATTTAAACAGGACAATGTCTTTTCAAGGTTAATCAATCAGTTAAACAATCAAAGTTATTACAACAATTAATCAATCACATCCTACTTTAAAACAACAACAATCAAAGTAAAACTGGTTGGTTAATTGTTTGATCAAATTTAATATAACAATCAAAATAATCACTTACCTGGAAATGTTAATTGTCAATGATTCCCAAATGAAATGATTGATTTACCAATCAAATCAAATCAAATTTGTTGTCGTTCAAATATCCAATTGATTGTTATTGTTAATTAAGAGTTAATTATCCAATGATTAATATCCATATTTGAATTAATCCAATTTTGAACACAATAAATACACATACACACACATAGAGAATTGGTTAACAATCAATTTTAATTGTTGTCGTTGTTGGAACACCAAAAATAAAAGTGAACAACAATTAGAAGCAAAAAAATATATAAGTAGTTGTTTATATCCGGCAAGCGTTTGATTTAATTGTGATTGTTGTTCGTTAATTAAACGGTTAATTGTCACGTTAAATTGTAGATATCAATTGAAAAGTAAATTAAATATCCGTTGATCAAGATCAAAGGTAAAACAATTTAAATTATTAATTTTATTGTTAATTAAGAGTTAATTATCCAATGATTAATATCCATATTTGAATTAATCCAATTTTGAACACAATAAATACACATACACACACATACAGAGAATTGGTTAACAATCAATTTTAATTGTTGTCGTTGTTGGAACACCAAAAATAAAAGTGAACAACAATTAGAAGCAAAAAAATATATAAGTAGTTGTTTATATCCGGCAAGCGTTTGATTTAATTGTGATTGTTGTTCGTTAATTAAACGGTTAATTGTCACGTTAAATTGTAGATATCAATTGAAAAGTAAATTAAATATCCGTTGATCAAGATCAAAGGTAAAACAATTTAAATTATTAATTTATAATGAGCAATGAAATTTAAACACCAACACGTTTCAAGTAAACAAACAATCAAAGTTTAATTGTAAATCCAACGAGTCGTGATTTAATCACGTTATAGTTGATTGTCACAATTAAGTAAATCAATTTCATGGGTAGATGATGAAACATACATAATGTTTAAATACATATAAAGACAAAGTAATCAAAATTGATTGTTAGAGAGACAATTAATGTAATAGCAATTTAAATTAACTGATCAACAAGAAAATTGTATAAATAATTGTGATGATTTTAAAGTTACCATAAATTGGATAACAACAATCAGATTAAAGTTGATTTAAGGTAAGATTATGATGATGATGATAATGGTAACATGTTAATTGTTGATGGAAGAGATTTAATTAAAGACAATTAACCAATAAATGAACACAATTAACACCGAAACAATTGAACAAAAAGGATTGAGACTTTTTTTTTCTCATTCTTCATCACCATCAACATGATGAGTAACTTTTTTTTCAATGAATTCAAATGGGAGGCGAGATTTTTTTACCCACCGTGGTTCAATTTGCTACGCAGTCTCAAACAAGTTTACCACTTCAACTTGTTATCATTATACTAACTACATCCTCCACCACCACCGCCACCACCACCACACCGATGCCACAACATGAAAACGCCTCAGGGCACCGAGAGAAACACTTTCCCTTTCCCCGCCCTTTTCATTTTCCCTCCTTCGGCTCAATATCTCTCTCACTCTCTCAGCTGATTAATGACCACTGTCCAGTGTTCATTTCACTGATCACCTTGATTACGATTATGATTAAAGATAATTAAATCAGATTAGATTGTCTTACCTGTTGATCAATTTTAAGATCAAAGTTTCCAGTTAATCTTAGGTATTAGGATTAATCAACTTAATTATTATATTATTACATTGATGATTACAAGTTTCATTTTTACTGACTAATTACAATTGATTGATTTAATTTACTTTCCCTCTACTTAATATATTTTACAGAGCAATTTAATTTTTAATTGTAAACATTTAAATCTCTATGTAATTATACATGTTAAGATACCAGAAACTGGTTGAGTGATTAAGGAACCAGTTTTAAATGTTATGATTGGTTAAATTGTTGAAACAATTTAGATGATTAACTTGTAGTTAATATGGATCATGATTAAATCTTTAATCCAATAATTGGTAATCCAATTAATTAAACAACAATAATAATAACTGAGAAAAACAAAAAGACAGACAAATGAACCAATTAACCTTTGATTAAGTTAATTGTTGTTTTTATAAATCATCAACGTTTTGAACAATTAAAATTTCATTTTTTTTTCTTGTTAGTTACAAATTTACATTACAACCAATTAAAACAATTAAAACAATTAATTTAATTATATAATCACGTTTTGTTACTCTCATTGATAATTAATGATTTTCTTGTTTTTAAATTACTCACCCAGATAATATAATTATTATTAATTATTAATTGTTAGGTAGTTTCTAAAATTTATTAGTTATTAATGAAAAGAAGACCAGAAAATGTTTGAAAAGTTTCAATTCAATTGAAAATCCAATGGTAATGATTATCAGGTAATCTCAATGATGATTTGATTTTCTTTGGGTTAAAATTGCTGTTTATACCTTGATGATGATAATGAATGATAATTATCATGGATCCAGGTAAATATTAATTGCAATAACTAATAGCACCTTCCCTTAAGTGCTGATGCAAACTAGTTTTAATTGCTATCAGTTAATTGCATAAGGAATTAATCATGACTATTGTTTCATGTTCAACGATTTGTTGAAGGTAAAGGTACTCACTCATTGACCTTGAATTGATAACTTGCAATGGTAAATGTATTGATGAGGATAAAGATGAAGATGAAGATGATGATGATGAAGATGAGGAGGATTGAGTCTTGATTGCAATTACTATTGATGAGGCCTCCCTTTAATTACTATTAAATATTTTTCTTTTCTTATTCGCAATCAAGGTAATCTCAATAGACGAGGATGATAATTAAGATGAG